CCACATTTTTTGTATGGGGGCATTTTGGAAAACTCGTGTAAGACAGGATTTTGTGAGATTCATGGGTGGAACAATGATTATGCCTCGCAGTGTATACAACCTAATATTAGGAAGCTGATCTCCAATGAAAATCGTGTTCACATTCCAACTTTCCTAATAAATCGTTAACCATAGTACTATCCTTTCAGCTTGCTTACGACAAGGTGCTGTACACAAGGCGAGCATTGTTGGCCAGACGCAGAGCGGCTGAACGTCACAAACTCCAGAAGGCTGGTCCCGAGGTGTACTTTAAGAAACTGGATCGATCACTTGACTCGAGCCTAGGGCCCATTGCAGAGAAAATACTCGAAGAGCACAATCCCATGGATATCACTGCTTTAGGTAAGGAAGCGATATTCCAAGAATGGTGCGAAACAGATTATCAGAGAGTTTCTTTATTTCTACCTCACAGCAACGTTCTAGATCCGATCGATGTACTTCGAAGCCGTTACATATCGAAATTTGGATGATAATGGTGATTCCGAGGATGCAGCCAAGAATCGGTATGATTCTGCCAAGGCTGGCGTGGAGGAAAGTATGAGGCAGTTTGCTGCAGAAGTTCGTCAGTCGGATTTCAAAGTTCAAGGTTTGTTACGTCCCTGAAAGATTGGTTAAAATTGCTGATTTTTGAGATGGTTGAAAACGAGATTCCGAACCCAGCGCCATTGGGTCAACTCACTGACTCGTTTGTAGGGCTTCACACATTTTCTTCTGTCATGCAGTGCCTGCCGCGAAGAATGGGAAATTCGGGAAAATACGTAAATGTGGCTAATGCTCTGGCCGTGACACTCTATATGTGCAACGAAAATGTGAGTTTTGCTGGTCCTCTTCTGTCAGCTACTGCGCTTTTGGCTTTCATTGTACTTCGATTCCTCGATCCACTATTCATTGTTGATATCTTCGCAACAAGTGGGGTGGTGAAGAGGAAAGGAATGAGCCCGCCCCAGCTGCCTTCTCACCACTTGTGTTCGGTTCACGAAGAGAACAAAAAGCAGTGGAAACCTCAGTGCTGGACTCATTCAACCTCGGGACACCACCCAGCCGATTGCCACGATACCAACTACCATGCCATGCTCACGCTTTTTTCTTCTTTGACTTTGATTCGCTAATGATATGTTCAGACCCTCACTTTGGTGCAAGAAAGAGACGACTCGGTGGATAAGAATATGTCCGTGAACGAGGGTGAACCTTGGATGGGTAATTTCATAATCACGAACGCTCCAGATGTCCCATCGTTATTGGGTCAGAGTGTTGAAGAAGTTCCGTCCAAAGGTGTTGAAGGTAATATTAATAGTAACGATAACATTGTCGACACCAGCGCATAGCAGAGATTAAGCTTTTTTGTATGTGTTTTGTCAATTTTTCAGCCCGTGTGCTTTGTCTCGAGTGTTTTCGTTTAGTATTTATTTAAGCTTTTTGATCAGCTCTTATGGAAAAGTGGTGAAAGTTTATCATTGATTATTGTAGAGTTGTAGGACTGTTGTTGTGAACCAGTCGATGAGTCGTTAAGGTGATCCCAACTTTTCTGTTTGCCTCACTTTCTCTTCGAAGCCTTTGAAGCAGCCTGTTTCTTTTTACCTCATTACCACTAACTAATGATGCATGTTCTAATTACTACCTCCCTGAGGGTTAAATTTCTGGCATACTAAAAGTGTGCACTACCTTACTGCCGACCTCGTTTCGATCATCAAGATTTGATCTCAGCACATGGCTTCGTTTCCACGCGCCGCTGATTCGCAATGAGGTTATTTGTCTAA